CATTCCCTGTTTCCTCGGCCCATCCTGGGGCTCATTCCCTGTTTCCCAGGGCTCATTCCCTGTTTCCCGGGTCTCATTCCCTGTTTCCCGGGTGTCATTCCCCGTTTCCCGGGTCTCATTCCCTGTTTTCCCTGGCGCAGGAGCCGGTGGAGGAGCTGAGCCCGGAGCACGTGCTGGACATGGAGGGGGATTCGCGGCTCCACGTGATCTTCGGGGGCACGCGGGTGGTGCAGCACATCCCGCCCCAAAAGGCCTCCTCGGGGCTCAAACGTGCGTTCCCGACCCCCCCATTCCCGCCGGGAATGCCGGCCGGTCCCGAGGGATCCGCCTGGGATTGGGGGGTGGCGCCGGGGCACTAATTAACGGGCTGGTTAATGAGCGGGGGGGAGCTGAATGAGCCCCTTGGGGGGGGTGAGGAGGGGGGAGCTCGGGGTGCTGGAGGGACCCGGGAGGAGGTTTGGTATTAATTAATTAATAATTAATGTGTTACTGTGATTATTAATGAACTGGGAGGCTCTAAATGAGCTCAGTCCCTCTGGGGGTGTGAGGAGTGACTCTGGAATGACCCTGGAATGACCCTGGAGTGACCCTGGAGGGATTTTACTCCAGGCTGGAGTGACCCTGGAGGGATTTGCTCCAGGCTGGAATGATCCTGGAGGGATTGATTCCAGGTTGGAGTGACTCTGGAATGACCCTGGAGGGATTCACTCTGGGCTGGAGTGACCCTGGAGGGATTCACTCCGTGTTTCCTGCCCCCTTCCCGCAGCCGTGGATAACGGATGCGTCGCCTACGCCCTGAGGACGGGATTCAACACCTCCCAGGTGAGCTGGGAACGGGATCCGGCATCCGGGAATCCTTGGGAAAGGCCAGGGAAGGGCGGGGGGGAAAACGGGAATTCCGGGTTTGGTTGGAAGGGGAACTTGTTTGGAGTGAGGTTGGGAAGAGGAAGGAATGAGGTTTGGAATGGGAATGAAGTTGGGAAGAGGAAGGAATGAGGTTTGGGAGAGGAAGAAAGGTTGGGGAGAGGAATAAATAAGGTTTGGGTGAGGGATGATTAAAGATGGGAAGAGGGATAAGGATTGGAAAGGGATAAATGAGATTGGGAAGAGGAAGGAGTGAGGTTGGGAAGAGGAAGAAGTGAGGATTAGGAAGAGGAAGAAGTGAGGATTGGGAAGAGGGTTAAATCAGGCTGGGAAGAAGAAGGAATAAGGTTGGGAAGAGGAAGGAAGAAGGTTGGGAAGAGGAAGGAAGAAGGGTGGGAAGAGGTGGCCCCGAGATTCCCAGGCTCTGGAAACAAAACCCCGGAGCCGTGATGGGAATCCTGGGGCCGTTTTTAAGGAATTCTGTGGGATCTCTCTGAAGCCCTGGCACTGAAGGCTCTTGTTCCCAGGGAAAGCTGCTCCGGACGATCCTGTTTGGGGTGAAGAGGGTGACGGCCAATAACCTGGAGACCTTCATCTTCATCCTCTTCCTCCTCGTCTTCGCCGTCGCCGCCGCCGCCTACGTCTGGATCGAGGGTGGGAATGTGCTGGGAATGCTCCGGGAATGCTCCGGGAAGGCTCCCTGGGGGCCTTGGGATTGTCCCCCCTGTCCCGGCGGAATTCCCAAAGGGTCGGGGAAGGAGGGGGGAGGCTCATCCTGAAGGTTTGGGAAGGAGGAGTCCCGGAGTTCGTGGGAAGGACAAATCCCAAAGTCTGTGGGAAGGGTGAAGGAATTTGTCCCAAAGTTTGTGGGAAGGGTGAAGGAATTTGTCCCAAAGTCTGTGGGAAGGATGAGGGAATTTGTCCCAAAGTTTGTGGGGATGACAGGGAATTGTCCCAGAGTTTGTGGGAAGGACAAATCCCAAAATTTGTGGAAAGGACAAGTGATATTTCCCAAAGTTTTTAGGAAGGACGGGACAGGGACTTTTCCCAAAGTTTTTGGGAAGGACAGGACAGGGACTTTTCCCAAAGTTTTCGGGAAGGACAGGTGCCTTGTCCCGGAGTTTTTGGGAAGGACGGGTGCCAATCCCCGGGAATTACTCTTGGATCCACCTTCTCCAGAGCTCCACCTCAGGAGCCCACCCTGGATCCCGGGATCCTTCCCGGGCGGGATCTGCTCCCTGTTCCTCCAGGATGTGGAGCTGATCCGTCCCCATTCCCAGCTGATCCGTCCCTCATTCCATAGGTACCAAGGACCCCCGTCGGAACCAGTACCGGCTGTTCCTGGAATGTGCCCTGATCCTGACGTCCGTGGTGCCCCCGGAGCTGCCCATCGAGCTCTCCCTGGCTGTCAACACCTCCCTCATCGCCCTGGCCAAGCTCTGTGAGTCCCCATTCCCGGCATTCCCAGCATTCGCATCCCAGCATTCCGGGATTCTGCTCCGGGGACAGGCTGGGAGAGCCGGGAATGTTCCCCCCCTGGAGCAGGGAGAGCTTCCAGCACATTCCAGGGGCTCCGGGAGAGCTGGAGAGGGACCTGGGAGAAGGGATGGAGGAACAGGACACAGGGAATGGCTTCCCACTGGGAAAGGGGGATTGAGGTGGATTTGGGGAAGGAATCCTCGGCTGGGAGGGCGGGGAGGGAACGGGATGGAATTCCCGGAGAAGCTGTGGCTGCCCCTGGATCCCTGGGAGTTGTGGGGCTGCAAATCCCACTGGATTCCCACCCAAATTCCCTGTTTTCCCTCTGCAGACGTTTACTGCACGGAGCCTTGGGCTGGATTCCCACCCACATTCCCTGTTTTCCCTGTTTTCCCTCTGCAGACGTTTACTGCACGGAGCCTTTCCGGATCCCCTTTGCCGGGAAGGTCCAAGTTTGTTGCTTCGACAAAACCGGGACCTTGACCAGCGACCACCTGGTGGTGCGGGGGGTGGCCGGGCTCAGGTGGGTCCTGGGAGCCCCCATTCCCGGGTTTCCGGGCGGGAATTCCTCGGGAACGTCCCGGCGGGGCGGGGGGAGATCCCCGGGGATTCGGGGATCGGGGGTTTGGTGGGAATTCCGTGGGATTCTGAGGCTCTTCCCTGTGGCACATCCCGTCCCGCTGATGGAATTCCCAGTGCTTGGAGACTCCCAGCGCTTGGATCTGCCCTTTAATGTGCCAATTCCCTGAGTTTCCTTGGCAGAACCGGCCGAAATCCCAGGATTTGGCCTGAATTCCCACTGTCCCGTGGCCTTTGCTCCCCACTGGGTTGGGGCAGGAATTCCGAGCTGGGAATCATTCCAGGGTGTCCCAGAGCGGGCCCTTTGCCCCGTTATTCCACAGGGATGGGAAGGAGGTGACTCCCGTGTCCGGGAATTCCGGGCTGGGAATGGTTCCAGGGTGTCCCAGAGCGGGTCCTTTGCCCCGTTATTCCACAGGGATGGGAAGGAGGTGACTCCCATGTCTGGGAATTCTGGGCTGGGAGTGGTTCCAGGGTGTCCCAGAGCAGGTTATTCCCTAGGGATGGCAAGGAGGTGACTCCCGTGTCTGGGAATTCCGGGCTGGGAGTGGTTCCAGGGTGTCCCAGAGCAGGTTATTCCATAGGGAAGGGAAGGAGGTGACTCCCGTGTCCGACATTCCCGTGGAAACACACCGGGCCATCGCCACCTGCCACTCCCTGGTGCAGCTGGAGGACGGGACGCTGGTGGGGGACCCTCTGGAAAAGGCCATGCTCCTGGCCGTGGACTGGACCCTCACCAAAGGTAAATCCCACATTCCGGGCAAATCCCGGCCCGGGGAGTCTGGGAGGGGTTGGATGGGAAGGGACCGTGAGGATCATCCCGATCCGAGGGCAGGGACACGTCCCATGGCCTGAATTCCACCCAAATCCCACTGAATTCCATCTGAATTTCACCGGAACTGTCCTGAATTCCACCTGAATTCCCCCCAAATTCCCCTGAATCCTGCCTGAATTCCCCCCAAATTCCCTGGAATTCCACCTGAATTGTCCTGAATTCTGCCTGAATTCCGCCCAAATTCCCCTGAGTCCCCCCTGAATTCTACCGGAAATATCCTGAATTCAGCCTGAATTCCGTCTGAATTCCACCCAAATTGTCCTGAATTCCACCCAAATTGTCCTGAATCCTGCCTGAATTCCACCCAAATTCCCCTAAATGCCCCCTGAATTCCACATGAATTATCCTGAATTCCCCTGAATTCCATTTGAATTCCACCCGAATTGTCCTGAATTCCACCTGAACTCCACCCAAATTCCCCTTTATTCCACTTGAATTCCACCTGAATTGTCCTGATTTCCACCCGAATTCCACCCGAATTGCCCTGAATCCTGCCTGAATTTCACCCAAACTGCCCCAAATTCCACATGAATTATCCTGAATTCCACCCGAATCCCCCCAATTTCCTCTGAATCCCACCAGAATTATCCTGAATTTTACTCAATTCCCCCTTGATTCCCCCGGGGTGGCACCTTTTTTATTTTTTCGTCATCATTGTTTTTTTTTTATCCCCTTTTTTTTTTCCTCCCCCTCCGCAGAAACAAAACCCCCTTTCAGGATGTCCCGATCTCTTTGTTTTCCCAGATGAGAAAGTTTTCCCAAGGAGTCTAAAAACTCCGGGGATGAAAATTCACCAGCGCTTTCATTTCTCCAGTGCCCTGAAGCGGATGTCGGTCCTGGCCTCCTACGAGCGCGGCCCCGGCGCCTCCCCCGCCTTCGTCGCCGCCGTCAAGGGCGCGCCCGAGACCCTGCGGCCCATGGTGAGACATTCCCGGGGAAAAAAACACGGGAATTCCACCCCCAGCGGGGCCGCGGAGGGGCGGGAGAGGGGGCGGAGTAGGAATTCCGGCGGATCGGGGGGTTGTGTGGGAAGGGAGGGATTTAGGGGTGGGAATGGAGGGTTTGGGGTGGGCAAAGGATCATCCCAGAGTTTGTGGGATGGACAGGGATCATCCCCAATTTTGTGGGATGGACTCAGGGGATCATCCCAGAGTTTGTGGGAAGGGCAGGGGATAATTCCAGAGTTTGTGGGATGGGCGGGGGACCATCCCAGAGTTTGTGGGATAATCCCAGAGTTTGTGGGATAATTCCAGAGTTTGTGGGATGAACTCGGGGAATCATCCCAGAGTTTGTGGGATGGGCAGGGGATAATTCCAGAGTTTGTGGGATGGGCAGGGGATCATCCCAGAGTTTGTGGGATGGGCAGGATGGGGACTTGTCCCAGAGTTTGTGGGAAGGAAAGGACAGGGGATAATCCCGAAATCTGTGGGAAGGACAGATGATAATGCCAGAGTTTGGGGGATGGATGGGATGGGGACTTGTCCCAAAGTTTGTGGGAAGGACAAGGGACAATCCCAGAGTTTGTGGGAAGGGCAGGTGACAATCCCAGAGTCTCTTTTCCCCTGTTTTTCCCCCCCTTTTTTCCCCAAAAAGCTCAAATCCGCTCCCGGATTCCCTGGGAAACTCCCTGAATCCCGTGTTTTTCCCTCCTTTTCCCCCAGTTATCCCAATGTCCCAGCAACTACCACGCCGTGCACCGGGACATCTCCCACGAGGGCGCTCGGGTCCTGGCCCTGGGCTACAAGGAGCTGGGACCCCTCACCCACCAGCAGGTACCTGGATCCTTCCCAGCCTGCAAATCCAGGGAAATGGGATGGCTGGGAAGGGAGGGGCTTTTTTATGGGATGTGGGCGCCCAGATCTGCTGATAAAATCGGGATTTTCTGGGAAAACCACCCCCCCAACCGTGAGTTTTGGGGTGTTGTGGATCCGTGTTCCCTGCAGTATTCCCGGTTTCCTGCTGACTAAGCAGGATCAGGTCTTTCCTTGGAACACCTGGAGAGGTTTGCTGTGGAATTCCTTGGCCGAGGGCCCAGTTTTGATTGGGAATGAGGAGCTTCTTGTGCCAAAAAAAGCCTTTTTTGAGCAGCCGGAGCCATTCCTGGGGTTCTCCGGCGTTCCCAGGGGGTCCTTTAACTTCAGGGAATCACCTGCTGGAAAATCCAGGGGCTGTTCCCGAGTGTTCCAGGCGGTTCTTCCCTCGGCAGGTGCGGGAGATGAAGAGGGAGACCTTGGAATGTGACCTGAGGTTCGTGGGGTTCATCGTGGTCTCATGTCCCCTCAAGGCCGACTCCAAATCCGTCATCAGGGAGATCCAGAACGCTTCCCACCACGTGAGGACGGGCAGGATTCCAGGGAAAAGGGGGTCGGGCGGGTGGGAAAAGCCCAAACATTCCATGGGCTCCGCTGAACCCCGTCCCAGGTGCCACTTCCAGGGGATTGGGAGGGAAAAGGGGGAAAACGGAGGGAAAAGAGGTGGGAAAGAGGGAAATGCTGTGGATGTGGGGCTGGTTTTGGGGTGGGATAACGGGACAAGGCCCTTCCCTGGGGACCTGCACCCGCTCCAGGCGGGAATTTTGTTGGTGCCTCTGGAATTCCCAGAATTCCCTGTCCCGTGTCCCTCAGGTGGTGATGATCACCGGGGACAACCCCCTGACCGCCTGCCACGTGGCCAGGGAGCTGCACTTCCTGCAGAAGGAAAAGACCCTCATCCTGCAGCCTCCAGCTTCCAAAGGTGCCCGGAATGGGATCTGGGATGGGCTGGGGGGAACAGGCCAAAGAGATTCCAAAACAGGGTCAAAATAGCTCCAAAATCTGGCCAAAATATCTTCAAAATAAGGCCAAAATATCTTCAAAATAAGGCCAAAATAACTCCAAAATAGAGTCAGAATAACTCCAAAATCAGGCCGAAATAACTCCAAACCAGGCCAAAATATCTTCAAAATAAGGCCAAAATAACTCCAAAGTAAGGCCCAAATATCTCCAAAATAAAGCCCAAATAACACCAAAATAATAAGGGCAAAACCCAGAGAAACCCCCACACTAAAGACACACTGAAAAACCCCCGAACACACCAAAATAAACCCAAAAATAAGACCTTAAAAACCCACAAAACCCCTCAAAATAAGACCCAAAAAACCCACCAAAACCCCCAAAATAAGACCCAAAAAACCCACAAAAACCCCCAAAATAAGACCCATAAAAACCACAAGGAAAAAAGACCAACCCCCCCCCAAGAACCCGGAATTCCCGCTTTTCCCAGCGCTGGGATCCGGGCGGGGCCGGGCCGTTCCCGGCCGATCCCGAGGCTGATCCCGAGGCCGCTCCCTGTCCCCGCAGGCTCCCCCTGGCAGTGGGAATCGCGGGACGGGGCCGTGGTGCTCCCGGCGTTCCCGGAATCCCAGCGGGAGCTGACGGAGCCCTTCGACCTGTGCGTGACCGGGGAGGGGCTGGAGCACCTCCGGAGCGGGAACCGGGAGCGGCTGCTCCGGCTCATCCCGCACATCCGCGTCTTCGCCAGGGTCGTGCCCAAGCAGAAGGTGAGGGGGACGAGGGGGGGTTATCCCGGGGAATTCCCAGCGTTTGGGAGGCGCGGGTGGAAAAGCAGGGTGGCCCCGTTGTGATCCTGGAGAGCCCTGAGCCTTTTCCAGCTCGGAATTCCCAAAATCTGGAGCCTGTGAGTGAGGCTCGGGGTGTCCCTGTTGTTGTCCTGAAGAGCCCTGAGTCCATTCCAGCTCTGAATTCCCAGGATTCAGAGCTCTTGGAGGCTCAGGGTGTCCCTGTTGTCATCCTGAACAATCCCAAGCCCGTTCCAGCTTGGAATTCCCAAAATGTGAAGCTTTTAGGAGCCCGGGTGTGAGGCTCCGGATGTCCCACGTGATCCTGAAGATCCCTGAGCCCCTTTCCAGCTCCCAATTCCCGACGTTTGGGCCTTTTCCCGCCAGGAATTCGTGATCACCACCCTGAAGAGCCTCGGCTTCTCCACCCTCATGTGCGGGGACGGCACCAACGACGTGGGGGCCCTGAAACACGCGGATGTGGGTGAGGATTCCCGGGATTGCCCCCAATTCCCGGGGTTTTCCAGAGTGCCAGGGCTGGGAATCCGCCTGCCCGGATCCTTTGGGGGCAGGAATTCAGATACAGGGGGATTTCTCTGCTCCTGGAATCACACACCAGCAGGAATTGACTCCAAAAGCTTCTTCCAGGAGGATTCTCCCTGGTTTTTTTTCCCTGAAATGCCATGATTCTCCCTGCTTTTTTCCTCTAAAATCCCTCCCAAATTGCATGATTCTCCCTACGTTTTTCTCCCCCAAATTCCCTCCTCTCCTGGCTCCAGGTTGGGATCCTGGCCTTTACAACCCTTTTTTCCCTGAAATCCCTCCCCAGTTCCCTCATTCCCCCTCCTTTTCTTCCCTAAAATCTCTCCCCAATTCCCTGCTCCAGTTGCAGCCACCAGCTATGTGGAAAACCCAAGGGATTTACCTTTTTTCCCCTGTTTTTTCCTCCCTTTTCCAGGAGTGGCCCTGCTGGCGAACGCTCCCGAGAGGATTCCCGAGCGGAAGAAGCGGCCCCGGGACGGCCCCGGGGACGGCAGAGCCGGAATTCCGGGGGCAGGAGTCGGGAATGTGAAGCCCACGTCGCGGGGAGCCAAGCACAGGGTCCTGTCCCAGCGGGAGGAGCAGCTGGCCATCCACAGGGTGCGATTCCAGAGGGGTTATCCAGGCTTTTGAGTCCTCCTCTGGCGCTCCCGGAGCTGGGATGTGATCCCAGGGAAAACAGGGAGCAGATCGTGGAATTCTGCTGGGAAGGCACCTTAAAACCCCTCAGCCCGGGCAGAGCCCAACCTTCCTTCCTTTTCCCCGTGGATTTGGGTGGGAAAGGAGCAGCTTTTCCCTCCATTCCCCTGTCCATGGAGCAGGGATGGTTCTGGGAATTCTCATCCCGCCTTTCCCGCCCCTCAGGAGCGGCTCAGCCAAGTGCTGAAGGACCTGGAGGAGGAACGAGCCCCGGTGGTGAAACTGGGAGACGCCAGCATTGCAGCCCCCTTCACCTCCAAACTCTCCTCCATCCAGTGCAGTGAGTGTGGGAATAACCCGGGAATGAGCCGGGAATGAGCTGGGAGAGAGGGCTGGGATGGGGAGAAACAGCCCCAGATCCAGGCTGGGAATAACCCAGGAGAGAGGGTTGGGATCGGGAGAAACAGCCCCAAATCCACAAGGCTTTGCCGCCATTTTGTGTGGGAATCCAGGCCTTTTCCCACCTTTTTGTGTGGGAATCCAGGCCTTTTCCCACCTTTTTGTGTGGGAATCCAGGCCTTTTCCCACCATTTTATGTGGGAATTCAAGCCTTTCCGATTTTGTGTGGGAATCCAGGCCTTTCCTGCCATTTTGTGTGGGAATCTGAGGCTTTCCCACCATTTTATGTGGGAATCCAGGCCTTTCCCACCATTTTATGTGGGAATCCAAGCCCTTCCCATTTTGTGTGGGAATCCAGACCTTCCCCTACCATTTTGTGTGGGAATCTGAGGCTTTCCCACCATTCTGTGTAGGAATCCAGGCCTTTCCCGCCATTTTATGTGGGAATCCAAGACTTTGCCGCCATTTTATGTGGGAATCCAGGCCTTTCCCACCATTTTACATGGACCAACCCTCACGTGGGACTTCGAATCCCCTCAGGACCCTCCTTTAGGGCAGGGCCGAGCCCCGAGCCCTGTTTTCCTCGTGTTTATCCCCGTTTTTCCCATTTTTTCCCCCAGTCTGCCACGTGATCAAGCAGGGCCGCTGCACGCTGGTGACGACGCTGCAGATGTTCAAGATCCTGGCACTGAACGCCCTCATCCTGGCCTACAGCCAGAGCGTCCTCTACCTCGAGGGCGTCAAGTTCAGCGACTTCCAGGCCACGCTCCAGGGGCTGCTCCTGGCCGGCTGCTTCCTCTTCATCTCCCGCTCCAAGGTGAGCGCCGGGAATGCCGTGGGAATCCCACTCGGCCCGTCCCGCCAGGACTGAAGGAAAAGGGCCTTTCTCCCCCAAAACATCCCAGTTTTTTGTGGTAAATTCCCAGTCCCCGATGCTGGAGGGGTGGGGTTTTGTGTGCCCCGGATTTGGGATATTCCCAGAGCTTCATCTCCCGCTCCGAGGTGAGCGCCGGGAATTCCACGGGAATTCCACAGGACCTCACTCGGCCTGTCCCCGTCCTGCCAGAACTGAAGGAAAAGGGCCTTTCTCCCCCAAAACATCCCGGTTTTTGTGGTAAATTCCCAGTCCCTGATCCTGGAGGGGTGGGAATTAGTGTTCCCTTGGATTTGGGATGCTCCCAGGCTGGTTCTTCCCTGTGATCCCAATTGATGGGACGAGCGGGAGGAAAAGGTGGGAAAGGGCAACGCAGGAAAAAATGGTTCCACTGAGGCTGTTCCTTAAAATCGCGGAATTAGGGAATCCTGGAATGGTTTGGATGGGAAGGGACCTTAAATCCCAGCCCATCCCGCCTCCAGGGGCACATTCCATGGACCGGGTCGCTCCCACCTCGTCCTCGAGCGCCTCCGGGGCCGCCCCAACCCCGGAATTCCACTCCCGAGGGGGAATTCCCACAGCCCAGGGTGGAATTCCTGCAGCCCTGGGTGGAACTCCCTTCATCCCACGGGCACCGCTGGGATCCGGAGCCTTCCCGAGGCATCCCAGCCCACCCCGCTCCCTGTTTTTTCCCCCCATTCCCAGCCTTTGAAGACCCTTTCCAAGGAGAGGCCCCTTCCCAACATCTTCAACCTGTACACGGTGCTGACGGTGCTGCTGCAGTTCCTCGTGCACTTCCTGAGCCTCGTCTTCCTCTACCGGGGGGCCCAGGCCCGGAGCGGGCCCAGGTGAGCCCCAATTCCCAAAAAAAAACAGTTATCCCCAATTCCTGCCGGGAATTCCAGGCCCGGAGCGGGCCCAGGTGAGCCCCCAATCCCAAAAAACCCCAGTCATCCCGAATTCCTGCTGGGCAGGAGCGGTGGGAATGTGCTGCGTGTCTGGGAATGTTCCCCTGGAGAAGGATCCAGGGAGAGCTTCCAGCACATTCCAGGGGCTCCAGGAGAGCAGCACCTGGGGACAACCTGCCTTGTTCCCCAAGAAAACCGGGATCAGGGGGGTTCCAGAGGTCATTCCCCATCCACACCCACATTCCTGGGGTGTTTTCCCGCTGCAGGGAGGAGGAATTTGTGGATCTGAGCAAGGAATTCGAGCCGAGCCTGGTGAACAGCACCGTGTACATCCTGTCCATGGCCATGCAGATGGTCACCTTCGCCATCAACTACAAGGTGCCTTGGGATACAGGGAACATCCCTTGGGATCATCCCGAGGGATCAGCCAGCCCGCCCCATTCCCTGCTCGGGAATCCCAAAATCCCTGAAATCCTCA